TGCGCGAGTCGTCGCGGACGTAGTAGTACGGATCTTCGAGGTACACGATCGGCTCCATGGGCTGCTCGCCGCGGTTCTCGCCCGGAACTTTGCCGAACGGCACCATCTTGGGGCGCTTGGGCAACACCGGCGGCACAAGACGGGGGGCAGCGGATGCGGACGCGATGGCACGGCGGCGGATGTAGTTCATGGCGATCGATGCCAAGCCAACGGTCACGCCGACCGTCATGCCGGACGCTGTCGACGACGGCACCTTCATCTTTTCACGACAATCGGCAGTACCTCCATTGAAAAGCAGTGCACGTCGACAAGCTGCAGTATCCAATCAAAACGCGCATACCCGATTGTATTCGCCGCATTTTAGCCAATCAAACCCACTTCTCTCCACAGAGACAGCTGCAATGAATTGCATCAACGCGGACCCCTCGCGGCAGCGGCGGTAAGTCGGCCGGAGAACTCTGTGGATGATATGGCAGAGTGATATGCACTACTCACGCATGCCTTGTAACTTCTAAGACGAATTGCATGGTGTGAAGATGCGATGTCGGCGTACAAAAATGGCTATGTGCGCAAGCGGCGCTTGTCCCGCGGACGTAATCTCGGGAGTTTGTACATCCCTGCCTCCCCCCTTCCCGCATGCCCTGAACCTCAACGAACTGCGTGTCGTTGGGTGTGTGTCGCGTGCCAGTGGTCTCCGTCGTTCCCATCATCACAGTCAGCACCCTCGCCCGCTCGTCCGGTCCACGACAAAGCCAATGTCCTCGGAAGCGTACAAATACGAATTCGCCGACTTTTCTGGGACATCACGGCACCCGTCGAGAAATCGGCCGTTTAGTTCACGCAGATCTCGGCGGCCACAGCACTCCATTCATTCTCCATCGAGGACTCATCCAGCACATCCATCGGTCGCTGTCGAGGTGGCAATCGTCTCTTACTGGAGGAGGTGGTGTTGGTCGAGCAAAAATGCGAGCTCGACCGCCTTCTCCTTGAGGAAATGGTACCGGTCGCTCGCGCTAAAGTGGCCCGCATCCAGATCCATCTTGAGCAGTACTTGGTTGTCGTCCGTCTTCATGTCACGCAGGCGCGCCACCTACTCACCGCCCATGACCGTCCCCTTTCTCGTCGAGGCATCGTCTCTGTGTATACCCATTTCGTCGGCTCCCAGTACGGCACACGCGGGTCAAAGAGGCCACCCGTCACAAGCATGTTCGGGTACGCTTGAGCTTTCACGTTTTCGTACCTGCGGCACCCGCACCATCGTGAGCCCCTCGTCCCAGCCATCCATTTCCAACGATCGACGATACGTACGGCGAGTACTGGAGCATGTAGGCAAAGAACTGGAGCTCGTTCGGGTTGCCCCACTCGGCCCACTCGCCCGTCGTGAGCGGAATCGTGGCGTCGCTGATCGTGTTCATCACATCGACAAAGGGGACGCCGGCAATCGCCTACGCAGATCCACGTCACCAAGGTTTCGATGCATGCTGTCTCTCGCACCGCCGTGAACAGGTCGGGCCGTCGGTTCAACACGGCGCCCATGAGCAGCCCGCCGGCGCTGCGGCCTTCGCACGTCATCTGCGCTGGCGTCGTCATCTTCGACGCCACCAAGTGTTCGGCGCACGCAATGAAGTCGGTGAACGTGTTCATCTTGGTCAAATACTTGGCCGATTCGTACCTACGTCAAGCCACCATCCCGTGTCGTCGTGTGCTTCCAAGGACATGGCGTACCACGTGCGGCCATTCTCGCCGCCGCCGCGAATGTGCGCAATCGCGTAAATGACGCCGCGGTCCAAGAGCGGCAAGATCGTCGTGCGAAAGTTGGGCTCTGCCGAGCAACCATCAGCGTCGTCCGATCCGTTCGACAACGTCTTCGTACCAATCGACGCTTCGTACGATCCGTAGCCGTACAAGTGAAGCGCCTGCGGGACGCCGGTCGGCGTTTTGTGGTCTTTGCGGTAGATGATGCTGATCGGGATCGCCGTGCCGTCGGTCGCGGTTGCTTCGATGCGTTCGCAATCGTACAGCGTCCTGCCGCCACGTCACGATCCATCTCGTTTTCGACGAAGCGGTCGATGTACCGGTCATAGTGCGGCACTGGCGTTTCCTTGAGCACGGCGGTCTGCTTTGTCGCAACATTGTACTCGACCGTTTGCACCGGCGTCGTGAGCGAGCTGTACGTGAATCGATACGCCATCGCGTCGTACTCGGCGTTGGTGGCGACCCCAAGCGAGTACATGGGCTCGGGCATCGCGAGCTGCGTTTTGTGCCACCCGTCGTCGTTGCCTAGGCACACACGCGCGCGCGCGACGCGATCAAGTCGAGCCGTGTGCGATTCACGTACGGCCGCAAATCCATCGTTGCGTGAGGCCATGCTGACGCCCCCCCAGCACGAAGAACGTCTTGAACGGAATCACGAACGCTACTTTCACATTCGAGTCGTACGGGAATACCAACGTCCAGGCGGCGGCGGCGGCGGCGGACGCCGTGCCGATCACCGCGTCCACCGGCACCGACATGAGCTTAAAGTTGACGTCGCCGTCCCGGTTTGTCGTGATTAAAAAGTGCTTGTCCCAGTGCTGCAGCGTGTACTTGACACCCTACGACGAATATCGTCAGCTCTACGCGCCGAAAAACAACGCGGGAATCGACCGGCCACCAGCCGCATGCCCACAGCGCATGCACGTCTCTGCAAACGGCGTCGCACCTGTACACGTGGCGCGACGACAGTCAACGTCGCGGCCGGGTCGCGCAAATCCAGCACGCGGATCTCGCTCGTAACCTTGGACATGGATGCAATCGCAAAGAAGCGGCCGGAAGTCGTCTTGTACGCACCAACGCTGAACATTTCGTCGACTTCGGTGAAGAGCGCCATGTCCGACGCTTGGGGCGTCCCGAGGGTGTGCTTCCACACCTTGTGGCTGCGGTGGGCGCCGTCCTGCGTCACGTAGAACAGCGTCGACGCGTCCGCGCCCCACACGATCGACCCATCGCATCCTTGGATGATCTTGGTCACGGCGCTCGTGGTTAGGTCCTACGAAGGCGACGTGTCATGTGGGTTGATGCCGTGAGTAGACGGGCAATGCAACATGCCTTGATGTAGATGTCGTACGTTTCGTACGCAGTAAAGTCTACCGAGTACGCAAGAAACTTGTGGTCCGGACTCGGCTCGACGGAATCCAGGTCGCAATGGGCCTGGCCTTCGGCGAGTTGATTCACGTCCAGCAAGATCTCCTCCGCGCCGTTCGCGTCATGGCGAGGCTTGCGGCAATGGATGCGGTATGCCTTCCCTTCCTCCGTCCGCGTGTAGTACAAATAGTCGCCGTGCGGATACGGCACCATTTGGTCCGTTTCTTGGACGTGGCCGAGCAGTTCTTTGTACAAGTCGTCCTGCGGCTTCTCGAGGTGGCTCAGCGCCGCCTTCGTGTACGCGTTTTCAGCGCGCAAGTGGTCCAAGATCTCCTCGTTCGTGCGCGAGTCGTCGCGGACGTAGTAGTACGGATCTTCGAGGTACACGATCGGCTCCATGGGCTGCTCGCCTCGGTTCTCACCCGGAACTTTGCCGAACGGTACCATCTTGGGGCGCTTGGGCAGTACAGGTGGGGTCAGCGTCACCGTCGACGTGAGCGCGCGGCGGCGAATGTAGTTGATCGCAAGGGATGCAAAGCCCACCGTGAGACCGAGTCCGACGCCCGAGTTGGCTTGCATGATGAATCCAGTGGCTTGAATCGAGAAATGGTGTCGTGATGCTGTTTTTTGCCACACGTGGATGAAAAAAGGGTGAGAAATATTTCCAATAAATCAGGAAAATGGAATTATCTTGATAATGTGATGGGTGGGAGAAATTGTGTGAGCCAGGGCGCTTCCGCCCGATCCAACGCCGCGGCCAGCACGACGACATGGGCTCGAAGGAACGCGGGACCTTTCGGTCGGCTGCTGTCTCCGCTGGTGTTTCTTCGAGTGTGAGGGGAGGACGGAGCCAATGCTGCGCCGTCGGTCTCGTCACGGCGACAACAGTACCACCACGCTATGGGAATCGTTGCAGTGAACCATCCCACCGGACAGCCATCGAGATGGCTTCGTACGAGTTCGTTCATCGCATTTTTTCGCTGCCAAACGCAGTGACCGCACGAGCAAACTCGAGTCTTGAGCCACTCGACACAATACTCGAGCGAACGCCACCGCAACGGTCCAGAGATTCGCCAGCCAGTGCGGCGATAGCCGACACGTGTGAGCGACGTGGCCGTACTGGTGACTCTGCGTTGCAAGTGGTTCAGCAGCGATTATTTCCCCAACGTGCGATTCAACGTAAAATCGTTGAGTGATGCCAAAGCGATATCGTGGTGACTAATTTCCATGTCCACCACGGTGCTCCGCTCCCTGCTTTTATCACGACCGCCAGACACAACCGAGGTCTGGTAGACGGTTGTGCGACTCTGCTCGCGACGTCGGGTGGCGTGTGCGGCGCAACAGAACACGGCAGCGACGCACGAATTCCGCCATCCCAACCGAATTGGGCAATCTCGTTCGAGTGGAGATCCATGTCTCTCTCGTAGCGACCGTCAGCAGCATGGGTCGATCGGGCGGGCATAACGCCATGGGGCTCCAAGCACGCCCGTTTTCCATACAGCGACTGCGAGAGCCGCCTACGCAGCGAACGAAAATTCCGTTATGGAGCTATGCAGCTTGGACGACAACATGGTGATGGGACAGCATGGGGTCCTGCTGGGGGTTTGACCAGTCGAGGGCCGCCTGGACCAGCGTTTCCATGTCTTGGGGCAATTTCGGTTTAGTTGTGTCGGGCAGAGACGTTCCCGAGTCGACTCGGAATGGGTCCCGCCTTGCAAACGATCGATGGAGCCTTGGAACGGGGTCCTTTTGAAAGAGCGGCAGGGCCAACAGCGACTCGATGGATGCCGTGTGCTGAAATGGTTGAAAGATCGCGTTGAAGACGTCGCGGACCTGCAGTTCGTGAGCCGCGCGGAACGACATGGTCGGCGCACGTACCACGTCGGTGGGCGGCTGATACGACCCGAATGATACGGTGCCGTTCGGGTTGAGGCGGCTCGGCGACCACTCGACGCCAAAGACCATCTCAAAGAAGAGCTGACCAAACAGCTTGACGGGCGTCTCCACTTGCGTCGTCGGCGGGCTTCGCTGGAAAAACACTGCTTCGTAGCCACTCAACGTCGCCTGGTCGCCGTGGAGGAGGACGTTCCCACTGTGGAGTTGATGATACGGCAAACCCTAGCCAGCCAGCCATGTCGGCACCGCACGACCACGCAGGTTGCCCATGCGTACCGCGTGCTGCAGCTCTTGCATGCCGAGCAGAATGTCGCGGCCATATCGGGCCAGCGTCGAGTGGCCAAGCGGCGTGCCGCACCCGTGGCGCTTATACTTCAGGTGGTACGGAATCTACCACGATGAGTGAGCTCCATGGATTGTTGTGAGCGGGTCCATGTACCTGGACCATGGCCGTCTTGCATCGGTGGTAAATGTAATCTTTCAGCGATCCCTGCGGCACGTACGGCGTCACGACGAGAATTTTGTTGGTCGGTGCCATGAGTTGGATGTCGAGCACTGGCAGGACGTGTGGGCATGTGTCATGCACGTAGTGAAAGTAAGCGCGGAGCACGGGCACGTCCTTGTCCTGGAGCGCCGTCGTGGGAAATATCGAGCACAGTAGCTGCGTGAACCGACCGCGATCGCCCATGAGGCCGAATCTGGCGCTTGTGAGATGGGACAGCGATGCGCGCCCGAGGAGGTACATGCGCTTCGATCGGTCCTTGCCCATGTACAGGGCTGGTTTGTCGAGCCACAAGTATTCGCTATAGGGAGTGATGAGCGCCGACATGTCCAACGTGGAGGGCTCGTACTCGGAGCGCTCGCAAAAGTCTCTGACAAATTCCTTGTCCCGATTCGCTTCGTCGAATTCGTCCTATGGTGCAATGGTCAATTCGCCGACCGTCCACGGCAGCACACATACGTCTTCGCTGCACATACTCCGGAGCTCTTCCGGGATCGGCGACAGGTACAGCGACGTGGACGACGACGACATGGGCAACGTTGCCGACGTCAACGATGACGGCCAGTCGAGACTTGCGCGCTGCAAGAGGTGGCTCGATTCGTGCATGCCACCTCGAGCGGACATAATGATTGCGCTCCGCCGCCGTTTGTCCTGGCGAAGCTTGAAGCACCAGTACGAGATGAACCCAAGCATCAGCAGGCCCAAGCACCCACACACGGCCATCGTGATCGCATACCACACATTCATCCCTTGCATCCCGTGTAAACGGCGCACGACCATGGACAACGTTGGCGGCGAATTGCGCACTGCCTCCCCGACGAATCACCTGGTTACGTATCCGGATACCCTACGTAGATCCAGGACGTGGAAAAGCTCCCGATTAAGGGAATTCAGGTACTCGACCTTGGCGCTCGACAAAGCCGCGGGCGGCGGGCCGACGCTGCCCGGCACGAGAGCTGCTCTGGCCTTGCCGCCAACGCAGCATGCAGTCGCTGCATGGGGCCAAAGCCCTCTCGCAGGGAAGGTGCCGTATGGACGCGCCGAAGTTCACCAAGCAACACACACCAGTACTCTGTATTTCCCGGTGGCCACTGCGTCTGCGAAGTTGCGCCGCCGCGGCCAACCAAACGTCGCCCATCGCGCAATACGCACCATGTCGCATCTCATTGTCGATGGCCAGCACGCCCATCTCCCGCGGAAGATGGCGTCGGTTGCGCTGTACCGACGGCCAGCGACTACTGTACGTACATGCTAAGTTCAAATCCTCGCGATAGGGAAAGGACCTGCTCCCCCGACGCGCGCTATCCCGTTTTCGCTGGCCCAAAGTGGTGACGCCGTCCAACTTGCCACCACGCGCATCTGAGCCAGGGCGGATGCACGGAGGTTCAAATCCGGATACGTATCCGGTATGACGTGGCAGCACAGTTTCCGTGGTCATTCGAACCCCCGTCCGATCCTTGGACAAGGTCGCAGCACTCGGCGGGGCGCAGTGCATGGCGACCTGTGGCCGGCTCGTCAAGAGGCTTGTCCCCTCGACAGATGCCGTGCGTTGCCGAGGCAGTTGCTGCTGGAGCCACCCCCGAGTGCAGCACTTGTCGCGATGGGGGGAGGTAGATTTCGGTTGATGAGGATATTATCCGGACGATGTGGAGGATCCATTTGAACGAGGATGGCGGAACCGCACACCAAGACGGCGGGCGTCCCGTTGCAGTATGCAAATGCTGGTGCGTCGACGGGGCCGATCCATCCGACGGAAGAGGCTGTGGCTGCGTTCAAGGACATCAAGATGAAGCGCAAGTTCCGCTTTGTCTTTTACCGCATTGACGGGGCGCAGATTGTGGTGGACAAGGCGGGGCCGCCGACTGGCACCCACGTGGACCTGATGGCCGCGCTGCCGCACTCGGACTGTCGCTATGTCATCTACGATCATGACATTCTACTTCCCGATGGACGACGCAGCTCCAAACTGTACTTTCTCTTTTGGGCGCCCCCCGCCGCGCCGCCCAACAGTAAGATGGCGTACTCCCACGGCAAGACTGCCTTTCGCGCCCATTGCGACGGCTGCCTCGACATCAACGCAAGCGAGATCGTGGACGTTCAATCTGCGCTTGGTCTTGCCACCGATGACGATGACGACGACGAGTTCTAGCCCATTTATGACATGTCTCGACTCTTTGCTCGATTTTCTCATCCGTGCGCCATGGCATCGCTTGGGGACAAATTACTCAGCAGAGGTGAAAACGTCCATTATGAAATGCCAACGTTAAAGTTCGTTGCGCTGCTCACTCTGACACCGACGTGAGTCTGTTCAAAGGGGTCGTCGGCTTTGCCATCGACTGCAGCAGCATTTTCTCCCGTAAGGCGCAGAAGAGTGTGGCTACCAGTGGCGCCTCTTGGTGCGGGCAAAAGTCCAAGCTGGCGGCCTCAACTTGACCGCGTTCGTCGCGACTGACGCCACCGACACACAAATATTTCGTTCAAATTTACGTCTTCCTTTGTTACAAGGGGACCATCAGCGTTTCACTGGTGGGCCAGGCGTCGCTGATGGCGGAGTGGCTGCGGGAGTGGACGGGGCGGAGGAGGCCGCGGCGGCGAGCAACTTTTGCCGCTTTCGCTCGCGCTCTCGCTCACGTTTCCTGGCACGTTGGAGGTCGGCCTTGCGCGCGCGCTCGCTCTCCGCCTCCACCTGTTCGCGGGCGACTCGCTCCGACTCCAAGACCGATTCCATCTCGCGCTTGCGCTGGTCTTGTACCGCCTTGTCCACCGCGCGGACGTGTTTGGTATGGAGGAGCTTTGTGTAGTCGCGGACGAGTTGCTTGAGCACGGCCATGCCAGGCCCTCGTTTGCTACCAACGACTTGATGCATCGACCTCACACGACGACCGCGCCACGCACCTCACGAGCATCGCGTGCACTTGGGTCAGTTTTTCGCCGGCATATCCGTCCAACGGTTTGACCCAGTCGATGATGCCCGTCAATTGCGTGCACATGCCGCTGTACACAGCGTCGTCCTGAGTGGCTTGGTACGTCGTTGCGTGCCGCAGCAGCGCTTGGATTTCCTTGACCAGTCGAATCCCCCGTTGCACGCGAAAACGATCCGTCGGAGGCAATGCATTCGTGGCGGCTTTGGCCGCCGCCTTGTCGTTGCTCGCGAGGTCGTTCATAAACTGGCCCTACACTTCCCCGAGTCTGTCATGAGCAGTCGCCGCCACGCGTGGTCAATATGGCATTGGACCTGGTTCGCGTACACCGCCGTGGTCTCAACGATCGGCAAGACGTGGAACCCGCCGCTTTTGGACACGGCGACGGCGCGATGGTCCATGGGAAGGCTGCACACGCCACAGAGCATCGCGACTGCTTCCGGCCACGAGTCCCGAGTGGGGGGACGGCGCGCAATCGCTGCAGCGGCGGCTCGCCCTTCAGCGATCAAGGACGACGGGGTGGGGGGTTTCGACAAGCGCGTCGACTTGACTTTCTTCTTGGACGGGCGGGACGCCGCGACGACCACCGGCTTGGTTTGGCAGCTCCAGTGCTGCATATGCGGTCGGTGCGAGTTGGTGCAGTAAAAGCCATGGTCCAAATGCGTCAGGGGCTCTTCGCACACAGCACAGTAGTCGAACGGATCGTCGGCATGCCGGCCAAACGTCGCATGCAGCTTTTCGATCCACGCCCCGCTACAACAGTCGAAACAGTTGGAGTCTGCAAGAAACTGTCGGACAAACAAAAAAAAGTGTCAAAACTCGTTTTTCGCGGAGAAAACGTCTCGACCAGATGGTAAGATTCCGTCGAAAAGGCATCAAATAGACAGAAAATCGGCAAAAAAGGCAAGAGTGAGACACAAATAAACGACATACCCCAGCAGATCGTGCAGCTGAATCGTGGTGGACGGGTACGTTTTGTAGATTTGTGGCAAGTGGTCGACCAAGATCTGGAGCAGCTGGAGGGATGGCATAGATGCCATGGATTGCTCAGCATACTTTACCAGCCACTTGCCGAGGGCGGCAAGTTGCTCGTCGGGGTCGGGCGTGGATGTGGGCAATTTCTCAATCGCCCGAGCAATTTTCACGTCCGAAATCAAGTCCGACGCGACAAGTTTCGTCACCACGTCGTCCAAGCAAAACTCTTGCGTGGCGTGGCGAGGACAGTACCCGTGGAACGCGGCGCGGTGGCCATCCTCGATCTCAACTTGAAGGAACCCTCCTCCTATGGCAACACAGTGTGAGCGCTGTTCACGAAATATCGCGTGCACCGAGATGGCGCTGCGGCTCGTCCCGGTGGCAATGGATCGTGTTGGCATCTCCAAATCGAGCGCAAATTGCATGAAACCTAGTCGCCCCTGCGATGAGAAACCAAGGCAGCGCGGCCCGAAAAAAAGGATCAAAAGAAACGGGTTTGTTGGAAAAAATGCAAGCAACCGATGCAGAAATTTGCTCGAAACGCGAGAATTCCGCAAGAAAAATTCAATCAAATCCGTCGACGTGGCGACAAAACCACAAGCAAGACGCGCAAGTCGCACCAAGCATTGCACTGGTTCCAGTGGCACTGAATGAGGTAACCTTCGTTGCGGTGGCATATCATGCATGTTCGCTGGCGGTTGTTCATGGGGGGGTGCACCATTTGAAGCGGCTCCATGACGTGCATATTCGGAACGACGATGTCATGGTCCCACCAAACGCACAGCACGTGGACCCATTCGGGCAACGTCGTGACCCTAAGGCACAAGTCTGAATTGAGACAAACGGACTGGGGGAAGATCCTGACCGTTGAATGCGTCGCAGTGGCTTCATTGCGCCACCGTAGCGATGACAAATGGCACAGATCATGGACGACGGGCTTTGATTCGTCACGAGGAGTGCAGTGCATCGTTGGCAGTTCCAGTTGCCTTTGGGAACGATCGGCACGCCGTAGCAACTTTGATGCACGGGGATGCCACACATATCACAGTACACGATGAGGTCCCCCGGCGTGCTTTCCCCGCCGTTGCATACACTACACCATCCTTCACTGATGCACAAGTCCTCGTCCGGCACACACACGCGTTTTAGATTCGCGCTGTGTCCATGAGGCATATCGTCACTCGCGATTGCATGGTCCACAATATCGTCCACGATCGCGGCCACGACTGGGTTCTGCTGGCGGTTTGGGCGCATGAGGCGCTTGCGAGGGATTGACGTCTCCCTGAATAGCGACAGACGCTTCTCCGGGGGCACCATCGGCGACGTTGTCGCGTCCTCTGGACGGTTGCCATTCTCTTCCTCCATGCCTGTTCTTGGTTTGATCGTATCCGGATAATTATCCGGTAAACCACCCAGCGAGCATGGGGTGATCCGCCGCCACTCGGCGGCGCCAAGACCGCAGCGCGGGAATGGACCGGAGCGACTGCAGCTCGGCTCGGATCGCTATTCATTCGTATTCGTCTGGACGCTGTCAACGTGCTTATCCCAACGGGACGTTTGGTACGATGACCACGTGTTGCATTCCTCCCATGATGAGGCGTTTGCTCCACGAGCTCGCGCACATCCCTCCATGGATCGAGACGGCAACGCTTTCTCGTTAGGGGGAGCAACAAGACTGGCTAAAGATGAGGAATGCAGGGGGGAAGCGCATAGATGGCATGTCCTCGATGCATGTCGATTCAGACGGTCGTCGTTCAGCGCCATGTCCTATTCCTTCCCCGCCGGCATGTCCTTGCGGTCTTCGACGACGAGCGCCCCATGCTTCTTGGTCAGTTTCTCCGTCAGCATTTCTCGGAATTCGGCCATCACGGTGTTTTCTCGTTGCTGTTTTTCTTCAATGCTGATCAGCGCCAGCGCGCGCTTCTCCTCGGCCGAATACACTTGGTTTTCCTTTCGAATACGAATGGCATTCATCCGCTGGTGGCGCGATCCGCTCATGACATATCTATACCAAACACCGTCAAAAGATGTCCAGGTCGACGAGCACAGCAAGGCACGCAGGCAAACATGCACCAGATATATCGCATGGAACCACCACGCTGGGCTCACACGTTTCCACCAGTACCACCGCCGCACAAGGGCTGGCATCATGCCGCTGCCCCAGCCACCGGGACTACCCTCGCCGTACAATTCCAAGCGTCGTACCCTGCGTTTTCGAGCTGTTCGATTTCTTGCCCACTCCACCCAACTTCCCCACGTCGAGGGATTCGCATGTTTTTCTGGACAAACTGAGCAATGGCGGCGCCTTCGCCGGGCAGGAGGTCCCGCCCGTACGTCACGGAAGACGTGGCCGATGCGGCGGTGTCGGGGAGGGGCATGGGTCCCACGATCTCGTCGTTGTCGTCGTCGCGAGCGGGTTTCGAGCCCTGCACAGCAGCGCGGAAGCGCGCCAGTTCTTCGGCAGACTGCTCGACTGCGGGAACTGGGGAAGCCGGTGCCTTTGCTTCGGGCTCTGAGTCGCTGGAACTGCTGCTACTGCTGCTGCTGCTGCTACTTGTACTTGGGCTCCGCCGTCGCTTCTTGGCCTTGGACGACGTTTTGGACGACTTGTGCTTGCTACGACGACTTCTTCGGCGGCGACGGCGGCGCTCTTCCTCGGACGAAGAAGATGAGGACGATGATGATGGAGCTGGGGATGGAGTGCGTGGTCGAGCAGCAGACTTAGATTTCTTCTTTGCGACGACGGGTTCCGGTGACGGCGGGGACGGAAATGTTGCCCAGAGATTATACTTGATCGCTTGGCGCTCGGCAATGCGCATCGCGTAGTAGCCGTTGTCGTCTTCGCTGGAGGTTGCAGGAGGCCGGCGTGGGGCGTATGACGACGGCTGAGATGTGGTTGTAGAGCTTCGTCGATCCCGATCCCGACCGAAGTCGTCGCGGAGATGAGACCCGTACTTGTTATCAGGACTGCGACTACGCCGGCGATATGCATCTCGCCGAGACGGCGGTGTTCGGCTTCGTCGGCGGCGATCTGGACTTCTGCTTCGCCAGCCATGGCGAGTGTGAGGCGAGCGACTACGGCGTCGGCTCATGTTTGAGTGTACAGGGGATCTGTGTGGGTGGTTCGTGCTGGAATTTCTTTTTGGTTTTAAAATACGAACGAAATAAAAATATGTATCATTGCAACCCGACAACTCCCGTTTGCTTTTGGTGGAAGCAATAATTTTGTTCAAATGTCGGGCGAAATTGCTTTAAAATTCTTGGAATTCAATTATAATGTCCACTTTACAGCATCTTTGCTCCATGTATTCACTCGTATATACAAATATCTAGTTGAGTATTGCTTGGAAGAGGCAACAAAGCTGTAAACCCCATTGTTGAGAGCATTCTCAACATGATCGCAACAGTTGGGAGCGGCGCGGGCGGCGCCGCCGCCCCTGGGTTCCAATACAAGCATCTGCAAGCGAATGAAAGCATTCAAGCGTTCCTACGTTCATTCCTCCATGAAAAGCATCGATGGAACGAGCTCGTCGAAGCAACCCTCCTCTATGGCATCCACTGCATTTCCCAAAACTACTCTTTGCAGACGCTCAATGTCGATCAAGTCCAGCACATCACCCGTGTGTCCTGCGAGCAGCAGTTCTGTCTTCATGACTTTCTGGACTTAGGTACATTGCTTCGAAAACCACAGCACTACTTTGTCCATCAGCAGCGCTTGAAAGGACCGGCAACGTCTAGCGGGGTCGCCTTCAAGCCATCATCTGTCTGGCGCCATGGCACTTCCACTGTCGACGCAGTAAGTTCTGACGGGGACACCGAACAGCCAACACCACCGCCCACTCAAGAACTACACTCCATTCCATCGGCTCCTCCCGCGGCTCCCATTGTCCGTGAAAGTATGTCCTCGATCCTTCCATCTCAATCCCGATCCTCACGACGTGAACTTCTAGGCCACCGAGACATGGACGAGTGGACCCACGTGCTGGGAAAGCCCTGGGTCGATGCAGCATGGCAGGCGTTCGTTACCACGACTGGGTATCCTGTTCCGGCGGCCACTGCTTCCGACAGCACCGTGTCGGCCTCGTTCCGCGATCTCAGGGACTCGATCGTGGCCAAGGCTCCATCGACTGGAGTCGTCAACACCCACATCACATCCAACGAAGGGCACTTGTCGTTCCTCGACTACTTGCGTGGGTTTGTCGTGTATTGCGTTGCAACTCCGGTAGCACTGCCGCCCGCAGCTCCGCTGCCATCGTCGTTGCCACCTCCTTCTGCAGCGTCGAAACAATCATCGTCCCAGTCCCAACCTCGTCGCCAAGTGTCTACCACCAAAGAGAACGCCCCACCTTCACTTGCCGCAGCGCCGTCGACGCAGCCAATGTCGAAGATCAAGCACATGCTCGACAAACAGAAGCAGCACGTCCTCCGCGTGCGAAAGACCAACACCCAGCGCATGCACGAAGCGCTGGCCAAATCCCGCATCGCAGCGTACGAGCCGCCCGTTCGCCGGCCCGCGATTCCTCCGCCGCAGCCATCTCTGGCCACCACAGGCCCAGGTACACGATGTGACGTTGGCGGTGTTGATCAACTTGGACGGCTAGGAGCGAAAGCACTTGAAATTGCGCATGTTTTTGCCAGCAGTCCATTCATGCAGTCGTTGTCGGAGGGCCAGGCGGTCGACGTAGCTTCGAACGCGTCGCGGTACGATCCGACATTCGTCGAGTGGGCTCGGAGGCCTCCTTCGCCACACCCTTGCCTGCCATGGCCGTGCCGTCCTTTACACCCGTGGTGGTGGTAGGCACGGCAGCAACGGTGGTGACATCGCCCACCAACGATTGCTCCGAGCAGAATTGTATGGCCACCACAACGTGGACCCGTCAACGCTGCCAGCCACAGGATGTCTCACGCCATCAGGTACCATCTCGATGCATTTGGAATCGCGTCCACATCGTTGTCGACCAGATCGACGGCCATCGGGAACGGGGCTGCCATTGCGCCAACAACGTCCTTTTCATGGTGCGTGCACGTTGCTGAGGACCTTTTTTTTGCCGCGCACGTTGTGGCATGTGCTCATGGGAGCTTGCAGATTTCAAAGGTTGGCTGGGAGACTACGGCCCGTCCCACACCAAGACGGTGGTCCCAGCCGAGTGGACCGATCTTGACGATGAAGACACGGCGTGGCTGCGTGATGCCGCTGCTGCAACTCGGCGTCGCGGCGGGTATAGCTGGGACCTAGACAGGTGCGACGCCGATTTTCGATGGGAGCGCCTTAGGGACCGATAGGATTCAACTGGACGAGAAGAGATCGACAGCGGAGCCCGTCCAGCCCTTCCATGCAGATGGCAGCGATGATGTGGACGAGGAAGACGGGAAGGAAGCACGTCGTCTAGATGGAGGAGCGGACGCGCCGGATCCGGCGTTTGAGTGGCTCGTGCACGAAGGTAGCAGTGGACGCGTTGCGGAGCCACGCGACGACATCGAATCAAACTAAACGCCATAGAACGTGTTGGATTACGACGATGCAATGGACGTGAGGTTGGGAAAGCGATCTGGCGTCGCTTTGTAGTCGGCGGAGTGGGTCGCGCGGTGGCGCAGTTGAGCGCGCAACTCTTTGGCGTACATGTCGCCAATGCCGTTAGTCTGAATCTCGCGGTGGATAGTCAGATGCTCCTTCTCCCATCGAGGGGATGGCGCACACTTGGCGGCGCGGACGGCGGGCAGAAGGAGTTCTTGGAGCAACGTCGACGCTTCAAGATGCGCCGTGGGTGTTGGGGGGACGGTCGGGCGGTATGCGCGACTGAGGTTTACCCGGGGGGCTTGTTTTTGTCTACGAGTGTACAGGTTCGGTGGAAGGGACCAGTCATGACATGGACACTTACCGTGCTTCGTCTCGACGGATGGTTTCGACCCACGAAGCAACTTCTGAGGCGGGAACGTGATCCGCAACAATGTCCTCCATGGCGCGCGTGATGCGGTTGTTTGACGGCGGAGCGTTCATCCCGCCGAACATTTGCGACATCATGGGCATCATTTGGGACATCATTTGACTCAAGTCGGGCATCGCGGGAGCTGGGGGAGGTGCAGATCGGACAACTGCGCGAGGCTGGCGACGTGTCGCGACTGGCTGCGGCGGAGGCGCGGCCTCCGCCTTCATTTCGTTGATCATGTCGTCCATCATCTCATCGTCTGACGACAGCGACATGTCATCAAGGATGTCGTCGGGGTCCATAGTCGGCGGCGGCGGCACGGGAAATCGCGAACGGCACAATGTCCAAGTGGCCGTGAGAAAAAATCTGTCTATTTTGATATTTGCAAAAATCAGGAATTCATGAAAATTTCAGTCGTGATTCAATCGTCTGTGATGGGTATACTGTATCCAATGTTCAATTGGGGTGTATTTGACATTTATCCCTTAAATATTTTACTGTGAGAAGAAATATTTAGTCAAACATGGGGGTGATCTTCCGAGTGACGCATCGATGCTATGGTGAAGGTGAAGACCGCGAGGGTGGGGAGAGGCCCGAGGGGTTTGAGACTAAAACCAGGAGAAGTGGGCGTGATGACCGAGCAAGGAGAGCGCCGTCGCGATGTGACGTCGGTCAGTCCAAGCTGGGGTCGCGAAGCAGTCGTCGGACGCAGGCACTCCAGGAGACCAGGGACGAGGGCCTCACTACTGCAGGTACAAACGGCGGCGGTTTGACCTCAACACCGCGTTTTGTTGCGTTGAGTCCACAGGGTGTGCAAGACAACTGCCGCAAGCATGACCCAGAGCTTGCAGAGGGGCTCCTCCCTGTGCTGCCACCGCGGATGCTCGGTCACTTGGTCGAGATCCGATACTTTGGACCAACCTCCCAACGCCAAATTGTCGCCATGGGGCGGCGCGCCAAGTCCAGACACTGCACACGCAAACACGACACCAAAACATGATGCATGGTGTCTCCACCGCACTGCATCCACGCCTTGCATGATTGGAGGGAGACTGCAGGAAGACCATGAATAGTGTTTGAGTTGTGAGGGCTTGTCGTGGTGGTCGGAGTGCATGGGATGCTGCTTTACCAACGGCGGAGCATCGAAACTCACCCGCTGGACGAGTGATGAAGCCCACCGATGAAACGGGGACGGGGTCCCCTTGAACATGGGAGTGAACGGCAGACTGGCAGGTGGGCAGGTCCCATACCCGTGTAGCGTCTCAAGAAGTTGTCCAGTCGATCCAACGACGCCGGTTCGCGTCAGTTGTACACCGCGACAAAGTCCTCCATCCTTGCCTCAACGTCCCGTCGAGACGGCCACCGTCGCTGGTCTGGGGTTAGCATGTCATGTACCCCACACTCCGCATGGTGGTGGTATAAAAAACACCTTCTCTTTTAATAAATATTGAAGTTTGATTTTTAAATAAAAAGTAGTTTTTTGATAAAATATATTACGAATTAATTAATCAAACCATCCGCGATGACTGCGAAGCGCGATAGCCAGACTCATGTCGGCGTCAGAAAGAGTGGGTGGCGGTGAAGCCAGAATGAGGCGCGTGGAGGAGTTGCTCGAGGGTCGGTGGAGTCGGCCACAACGTTGGGATGGGCATACGACCGCAATGCAGCCAAATTGGTGGCAGCATCGGTAGCTCCAGCAATGTAGTTCGGGAGCGTCAAGCAGAACGTCCCAACGCTCTGGACGAACACGACGCCACATTTCTCTGTGCTGAGTACATCCATTGGCACTGCTCGGACACCGCTGCAGGAAAGCATGGCGGTCGATGGCCCGATTGAAAACGGCATGTGGAGCGCGTTTTCGAGCGCCACGGTCGCGTAGGATAGACGTGGGGGCGTCGGTCCGCGTTGGTGTGGGCGATGGCATCCACGGCCATGGCAAGAGAACATCTCGTCGAGACCTACCAGGTTCAGCCGCCTCGCTCCACTCTTTGGAACGGAGAACGATATGTTACACCACGTCAAACGAGCCGTCCTGTCGGATCTCCAAGCCTCGTGACTCACGAGTACGTCGACCGAACAGGCATGCATGTTGCTGCAACCTGCCGCGACGAGTGTGTTCGCCAACTCGACTTCACGGCCCCCTCCCCGACGTGTCCCCAGTCCCTAGCATAGATCGTGTGTGCAAGATGCCGTTGAATCGGCGGTCGCCGCGCCGCCGCCGGGTTTGGCTCAAAACGTCGAATTGTTCTCGCGATCGACATACATTCCGGAGATTCCATCATGGACGACATGGACAAGATTCGCATGGGACTGGCGGCGGATGTGGCGGTGATCGGCGGGGGTGTCGTCGGCGCGGCCGTGTTCCGCGAACTTGTTCTGCACGGGTACAAGGTGATTCTGTTGGAGAAGGATGCGAATGTCGTACACGGCGCGAGCTCTGGAAACTCTGGCATTGCGTGCACGGGGTACGATGCTCCGATCGGATCGATCGAGGTACACTGGGTGTCAACAGTTTTCATGTGCATCTTGTACATCACGCCATGCATAGAGACGATGCATCCGACGTGCGATGGAATTGAACCCGACGGTCTACCGCGAACTTGGCCTCCCCTCCGCGCCCGTGGGCAGTCTCGTGGTCGCATGGACACCCGACGACTTGGCTGTGCTCCCCCACATCGTTGCCGCAAACCACGGCATCGGTACAACCGACATACCCCACATATCAACGTATGCATGCGTCTCATTCCTTTCACAGGCGACACCCACGTGCGAGCGTTGTGTCCCCACGAGGTGTACGCGATGGAGCCGCACTTGGCGACAGGCGCGCTCGGGGCCGTATTCGTTCCTGGTGAAGTCGTCGTTGAGCCGTGGTTAATCCCTATCGCTTATCTCCATCACGGCTTGCGCAACGGCGGGACTCTTTGCACGCGGCACAAAGTCGTTGGCGGCGATTTCGACGAGGTGGTACAAATCTCGGGCCAAACGTCACCGTCGACGTAGGGTATCTGGACTTTGCAATGCGAGACCGACGCCGCACCTTCATCCTCGTCTCGAGCGACGACTGTACGTGCCCGCGTCGTGGTCAACTGCGCCGGGTTATACAGCGACATCGTCGAGCAGATTCACACGCCGGCCGTGCCATTTCACGTGCGGCCGTGGTGTCGTTGGGCCCGGTGCTGACGGATCACTGCATTAGATTCGACCGCGCAAAGGGCAATACATCGTGTTGGACGCGCCGCCCGGAATCGTGACGCGAGTTGTGCAGCCCGTGCCAACAGACCGCACGAAAGGGGTGTTTGTGTTTCGCAGCCTGTACGGCCACGTCGTCGTCGGCCCGACGGCGGAGGACCAAGATGCGCGCGACGACTTTTCCACGACCCCCGAGACCCTCGACATGCTCCGGGCAGCGGCCGCGAAGGTCGTGCCGGCGCTCGCGTCGTGTGCCGTGGTTGGCAGCTATGCAGGTACGTCGCAGCCACCCATGGCGCGTGAAGTGTGTGTTTACGAGGAATGGGATGGCCGAGAGCGCTTGGGAGATGGCGGCAGCGACATGAACGGCGTGTCGTTCCGACGGCTTGATCGAGTCGTTCGCATAGGTCTCCGCCCCGCGACAGAACACCGAGACTACCAGATCGAGATGGACGAGGCCCGGCAGTGGGTCACTGTTGGGGGCATCCGGTCGACAGGAGTCACTGCCTCGCTTGGCATCGCCGACTACGTTGCGTCCTTGATCGATGCGTCCCATCTGGGCCATGTCCACCGCGACACAGCACGTTGCCCGACGCCGTTTTCCCTCCCGCCAGACCTGGAGTGCCAAGGCACTTCCGACACGATGACCGTCACGCTGGACGGCGTCGTCCACAAAGTGTCGCATCCGCTGTCGCGGTGGGGTCTATCCAAGCGGTCCCAAACGATGACGCGCGCGTTGTAGACGTCGTTGGCTTGTCGACTTTGTCGCGGGCGTATGAACATGAACAATCGTTCGGTGGTCCTCGTGGCAGAATCGATGCCAAGTCCGTCGTCGTCAGGTCAGCGATGGCGTGTGTAGAGCACACATGCCAAGGGCGCTGAGGTTGTCATCGAGAACGTTCAGGCACGCGGCGGCGGCAGAAGTTGTTTCACACCAGCGAACGATCGATTCGATCGCGATGCGTGGTCCGCTCCGACTTCTAGCGTCCGATGCATCGAGGCGACGATCAAGTGCCTTCGCGCGGTCGGTCGTGGGGTGCCGGACGTCCATTCCGTGAGACGTCGCTGTCGTCTGGATCGTCAACGGACGCCACCCATGCGATTGCCGTCGCCTACTTGGTCGGCGACGCAGCTTGGTCGGGGCTCGTCGACTGGCATGAGGTCGACCTGTTGGGAAGTGCCAACGATCCTTGGCGCGCAACAAACCCACACTCGTCACCGCGGCGTTCCTGAGTTCGTTCGCGGTGCTTGACCACCTCGTGGCACACGGTCGCGGTGTTCTGGTGGGCAGACCATGCTGCAGCATGATGGCAAGCCCGACGTCGTCCAGGCGCAGCACGAGACTGGCTGGACATGCGCTTGCCTGACGCACGCCATGGGCAAATCGGTTGGGGATTCCGCGGCAATAATGTGCTTGATGGCGCTTTTCGTCCAGACACAGTCGTCGTATCCTCAATACGGGATGGTGCTGGGCACCCTTCCTGTGCAACTGGGGCTGGGAGAACCTCGATCCAAGCGTCGAGGTCCGTCCATCCGAACTATGCACGAACGCCCTCGGCATGACGGCGGGGGCTTCGTGGCGCGACGTTTTTGAAAAAATGCTGCAACGACATCCCCCCCTTTCATCCAGACCGGCCTCCATCCCCTCTGACGTTTGCGCATGGGTTCAGGGCGTAAATAGCTTGTTGGATACGAAACATGACTTGAAAGCATTCGGTCCGTGTGCAAGTGTCCGAGTTGATGACACCAGTGCCGCCGCGTCGGTGGCCGTGGTCGTCCCCAAACGAAACAACAAGCGTCGGCTTGAGCCTGCGACGGTCGTCGGCACAGGTCCATCTCGCCCCGTCGTTCATGCGTCGGACGGGGAGACCGTCCGCGGCAAGCCCATGCGACCTGTCGGTTGCGCTGTGGGCGGTACAAGGCGAGGGAGATGATCCATCGCGAGATGGTTATGGCAGCAACGTCCCGACCAAGCAGCGCCACCCGAGGACCTTTGTGTGACAACTCCAACGGAACACCCACTGCAGACGCATCCGGTGGGGTTTATGGCGAACCCAATGGACGCACAAACCGAGGCAGCAGCGAAATCCAAACGCGTTGCACCGGCGACCGCCATGTCCGCGCCGTTGAACAGGAAGCGGCACGTAGTGTAGGCGGCGCGACACCCGCTGGGCCACTTTGCTTGGTGTGTTGCGATGGATTCGCATGTCAAGTTGGGGGGGGGGCGAAATGGAGAGGGGGTGGTGATGTCGCCTTGGGGGGTCGCTCCCTCTACGAGCGACGGAATGGTGGGCAGCTACATGCTCTCGCAGGGGGAAGTCAACGTCGCGGGTGGTGATGGGAGAGGTCGACTGGTGTGCCCGTGGGAATGGTCAAGGAACACGGTGGATGGATCGAGGCAAGCTATCGTCGCCGACGTCGTCGTGCTGCTGCACGAATCACGTTGGTGGATGCATTTTTGACACGGCATGCGATTTGGAGCACTCGCAGGCCATGCCATGCTGCAAGGCTCGCAGCATTCTGATCACGTGGGATCGACGCATCGCAAAAGATACACACGGCCGAGATATGAAAATTTGCGCACCAATGGCAACGTGTGCCGACATGGCGTGTCAAAGATCGTGCCATTCGAAAATAGCCGGCTTTCGATGAAGATCCGGTGCCTTCTCGCGGCTTGGGCTGCAGTCGCCTTGCCAGGACGGACCCTTGTCGGAGCTGCTCCACCGCTTGCAACACCGTCGCGCACACCGACTCCGGCACCCATTCCTGCACGAACTCCTGCACCTACATCTGCACCGACTCCTGCACCGACTCCTGCACCGACTCCTGCACGAACTCCTGCACCCACTCCTGCACCGACTCCTGCACCTACACCTGCACCTACATCTGCCCCAACTCCCGCTCCCACCCCTGCACCTACCCCTGCGCCGACTCCTGCACCTACTCCAGCTCCAACTCCAGCACTCACTCCAGCACCAACTCCTGCACCTACTCCTGCTCCAACTCCAGCACCTACTTCAGCACCTACCCCAGAACCAACCCCAGAACCCACTCAAGCACCTACTCCTGTTCCAACTCCAGAACCCACGCCCGCCCCAACACCAGAAC